TTTTTTTTTTTGGGGGGGGGGGGGTGTTACTGTGGTGTTTCTTCCTTTCTGCTAGTCCTCTTGTCTCACCTCTTTTGTTTTCTGTCTGTGTTCTAGCTTTGTGCCTTTTTTCTTGCTCTTAGTACTTAGGACACTTTCTGTCAGAGCTTTTAGAGCAGTCTTTGCCCAGCCCCACCACCTCTACTTCAAATATCTCGTCACAGGTTAGTTTTTCCTGGAATTCTGCAGCTCTCCTTCCCACCAATATCATCTCCTGGGGCCTCTTTCCCTGAATTCCTGCCCTGTGTCTGGTTTTGTGCTTCCCAGGGTCCAATCTTAAACATTTGTTCCCAATCTAATTATCCCTACTACAGTAGGTCCAATTTCTTCTGAAGGGATTCACTATTATAGTAATAAGTAGTGGACCTTATTTGAAATTGAGAGCCTCTGTTAAGGCCTGAATTTATCAAAACCTGAATCTGTTTAATCATTTAAATAAAAATAATATGCTGTTATCAATATGCAAGGAAATCTAGAGCAAGATAATGAAGTGAACCTGAAATTCACAGTAGAGGGAAGCAGTGCTCATCTGATACTACCTTTGCCAAAGACTTAGCCACTGTGCTGTATATTGCAACAGTGCTGGGCAAATAGGAACATAAACTATGTTCATTTGCCCTAAAGAGCTCATAATCTAATGTATTTTGCAAATATTTGCTATAAGTTTATTCTTGAAAAGAAAGCACCGTGTAAGTTAAATTAAAAGAATAATTAAAACATCATTTTTATCCACTCTGGATTTCAGATATTGTGGAAAAACTGTTCACTCTTACACTGATTAAATATGGAATGGGCTTTGCATATTATATGTTGGCAATATTTTGTCTGTGTGAATAAAATATCCCCTTGCGTTATCATTCACTGCTGCCCTTGGCTGTCACAGGGACTCAGTCTGTCTCATAAGAGCTTCCTATACTTGTCTCTACCCTCCCAGGGTTGGTTCTTTTGGTGTCTTTTACCTGGTTTACTCTGGCAAGCTGATAAACTTCATGAGCTTACCATCGAGGGTAGGGCTGCCAGCAGCAAAGCTGAGCACTGTTCAATTTAGACTTTCCCCAAAGACAAATGATTTTTTTCATCCTTACAGATGATTGCAGTGGCCAAAAGAAAGTAACATTTTGGCACTTGCTAGTTGCTCGGACATTTTGAGACTAGTTGTCACACACCAGAAAGTTACAAGCTTTGGCCATATACTCTATTTTAGCAGAGATGGGGGACCTAGGAGGGGGAAGCACAGCAGCAGCATGTGCCCTACTGCTGTGCAACTGCTGGGGATGGTGTCCAACTTGCAGAAGAGGGCATGACATATTCTGGTAAGTGGATGATGATGCTGGCTCCTCTAGAGAGACTTTGCCTGTCAGCATTAAATCATCATTTGCACTGTCAAAGACAGCCTTGATGATAAGCTCAGCAATATAAAAACGGAAGGGCTTAATGAATGGACTACATGAGCCAGACTGGTTGATCTGTTTGTGAGAGGGAGAATGAAGTCACTTTAAGGGTGTACATTGTGAACAACTGTACAGGTGACATGCAGATGAGAGGCAATGCTAAAAACACTTCCTTTTGCTTCTTATTTTCATCCTATCTAAACATTTTGTGAAGTGACCTGGGTCCTAATGTAATCCTAGATTTCACTCAACGGTAATACAATTTATGTTTAGAGAAAGGTAGTTATCTGTGTTAGTCTGAAGTCAGGCAGAAAGCAGCAAAGGTGCCATCTTATAGATAATTCAGAGAAGCACAAGCTTCTGTAAGCAACAACATACTTCATCAGATTTTATAAAAGCTTATGTATCCCTGAATTAGCCTATAAGGTGCCCCTTCATCCTGCCTTCTACAATTTATGTTCATTAATCACACAATAAAATATCATACAATTTACTGTTTGAAATAAGGAGTATCCAAGCAACCATGTTGTTAAATCAAAGGTTTGATCTATTTTCATTTATAACCACTGAACTATTCAGGGGGAACTTTGTCATAAATGAGAAAAGAATACAGCTTACCTTATTACTACATGATAGGAGTTAATCTTTTCCCCTAGTGTCTTGTTTCGAAGCACTCCTCCATTACCAACAACAATGCACTTTTTACAGGGCTCACTGTTGAACAGATATTAAAGATTTATACATTTCAAAACATGATGAGTTTATGATTTTTCATTTAAGTTTGTTCCTGTCTCATGAATGCTTAGTTTCAGAAAAACAGTGTCCTGGGGTGGGATTCACTGTTCAGATCTCACTGTTTGGTTCAGTATGTAGCCATTAGCATCCAAAGCTATATTAGACATTCCATATCATATTACAAACATTCCTAACCCTAGCTGACAGTTTCTGAATTAATACAAAGCTTTGAAACAATTACTTTTTTTTATAGAACACTACACTTACATAAATCGTATTTCACCTACAAATTGCAAAGAACTTTGCAAAGATGGTTCTTGGAGTTGGTGTTGTGCAATCCCAAGGCACTCCCTTACCCACAAAGGATAAATGAATCATGTGAGTGATTCATGAGTATTAGGAAACCCTAAGATGAGTCAAGATTCCTGCAGGTTATAACAAAAATTCGTTATATGCGAGGTAAATTCACTCTTATGCGATTGCTGTGGTAGAAGCCTGCAGTCAGCTGTTTTGTGCAGTGCACTGTGGGAGTGACGTGCACCAACATACAGTCTTCTGTGTGGATCTGTACTCCTTGCTCATTGTCTGTGACATGTTTCTGTACCTGCCATCCCCATTATGATAGTGCCCTGTGCTTGTGTGTACCATCTGCTGTTGGTGAGTCCCAAAACTGTCTTGTAAACGTGGTAGAAATGGGTCTGGGTGTCAGTACAGTCGAGTTCTTGGAAGGTATCCCTATTTGTTACATTGTAAAGTGGGTTCCCTTTACGCAAATTTGAGTTATGCACCGTTTTCCAGGAATGAATGTACAGCATAAAGCGAGGGAAACCTGTACTAAATCAGGAAACGTGAAACAAAAATAAGTGCTATGACCTTCAGGACTTCCTCAAGAAGTCATTATGGTCACATTTCAAAATAAATTCTGGCCTGCAGGCTTCTCAGCAATAGCTCTGTGACCACATCTGTACTAAAACATACCCTTTCTTTACCAACAGATTCTTGCTTAGCCTGTTGAAGGGCTAAAAGATCATTACACAGGTGCCTAACAAAATTAAACTGGAAGTGAGAAGGAAAGGGCTAGAATACCACTCCAGCACTTATCAGGTGAATTCAAGAGTTTTTCTTACAGAGCCTAAACTCTTATTAAAGAAAAAAGCAAAGTTTTCATTCCTGATGGTTTTACGGGGAAATTTCCTGAGTGTGAACTGATTCACGATCACTTCAATCAGTTTGCAGAAAGATATTATGAATTTTAAGTGGTGACCAGCCTCATCCATTTTAATTGGCATGGGATGAGAAGACTAATAATTATTTTCAAATATTCATAATATTACCTCTCTCATGGCTGAGCCTTTCAAGCAGGAACATCCACTTTTGCAGCACAGATGGATATCACAAAAGTTGAAAGTGAACTAGACATGTTTAACTATTTTACTCATCTCCTCCAAGTCTACTTCAGGATTGCTCTCCAGGCTAATTTTTCTACCATTTTTCTAATCTAGTGTAAAGATGTTTTGAAGCAAGAGAGTGTAATCTGAATTTTCTTCCAGATTCTTCTGGATTTCTTTACATACTCTTCTAGACTCCTTTGAATATGCCAGTCTTCTCTCTTGTACTTCCTCAGATGCCTCCACTACCTTCACCTCAATACTTACATCAGAGGATCAGTGAAGGTAGTGGAGGCATCTGAGGAAGTACAAGAGAGAAGACTGGCATGTTATAGGTGTGTTCAAAGGAGGCTGGAAGAAAATGTGGGAAAAGAAGTTACCAGAATGGCACTACCAGGGAGAAAGAGGAGGAAGACTGAAGATAAGATGGAGAGATATAGTGGGGAGGCACATGAGATGGGAGTTGAAAGAAGATTTGTATGACCAAAGCCAGTAGAGAGCCCTGATCTACAACAACAGTCCCATTTAGATGGGACAAGCGAGGAAAAAAGAAAAGTGCAATCTGAGTTTGACAGATTGACAGAAACTTTGAGAAGGGAAAGTGAGGCCACAGCTGGAGTACTGCATTCAGTTCTGGGCTCCACAATTTTAAAAGGATGTGGAGAAGCTTGAGAGAGTCCAGAGGAGAGCCATGCTCATGATTAAAGGGCAAGAGAACAGGCCCTATGATGACAGGCTGAGAGCCATGGGACTCTTCAGCCTGGAAAAGCACAGGCTTAGGGATGACTTAGTGGCTGCCTATAAAGGTGTACATCAGGATGTGGGGGAATGCCTGTTTACCAGAGCTCCCCAAGGGATGACAAGGTCCAACGGTCACGAACTCCTCCAAGACTGTTTCAGGCTGGACATAAAAAAAAAAGTCTTTACTGTCAGAGCCCCCAAGGCCAGGAACAGACTTTCCCCCAGAGGTGGTGCAGGCACCTACACTGGACTCTTTTAAGAAATGTTTGGACACCTATCTTGCTGGAATCCCTTGACCCCAGCTGACTTCCTGCCCTTGGGGCGGGGGCTGGACTCGATCTTCCGAGGTCCCTTCCAGCCCTAATGTGTATGAAATCTATTAAAATGAATTCCTTTTTCTCTGCCCCACTGCTCCTCATTAGGGTTCAAGGTGAGAATCTAGGTGGTGAGAGAACAGTAACCAAGGGGGGAGGTGAAAGGAAACAAATGCAGGTCTTGACAGCGTGAAAGGAAGGGAAAAAATATCCAAAAGGGGAGCAGGTTAAAGAGGAAGGTGAAAAGGAAGGAGACAAGAAAGGGGCACAGCAAGGGAAGTGTATGTAGATTTCCACTTATTGTTCTTTCCTTTAACTGCAAGCAGCACTAGCCACACAAAAACAGTTTTAAAACAATTCATCAAATAATCCATTCTTCAGTCATGTTTTTTCAACAGTCAACTGCAGCCAGGTGTCTTCCAGAAACAACTGCCACTACCATGACACAAGTGGGTGAATGTTGCATGAGAAACGTGGCCAGCAGCATGGGCAGGAGGATAAGAGCTACTTTTCCCATTGCTGTGTTTTGCCATGCTGGTTTTCCAAACTTATCACCACTCAGAATCCTGACTCGTACAATTCTGGCTGCTCCCCCCCCTCGATCACTTAGCTACTGATCATCTTTTGACCACAGTACTAGGTTTCGTGTCTTTACGTTTCATGGCTTTACTCTTTATTTTCTTGGGTTGTTTGATGTGAAGATGTAAGAATTAGAGACCTCTGTCTCTGTCCTGTTAGTTGCTTCATACTGCTCTGATGGTGAGGAGGAGCCCTGGACCACACTTGATCTGCCTGCAGCCAATCAATTCTTCTCACATAAATTCTCTAATGATCTGGAGCCACCTAATGATTTCCAGTCTACCCACTTTCCAGTGTTTGAGGGGTTATGGCCAGGACACTTTTTCACCCGAGCCATCCCTGATTGCTGAAATTATGTTAAATGGGCTGGTGTGAAATTAAAACAGCCCTTAGGGCTGCTCTTCTTTACACTATGGCACTGTGTACTGTCAGACTTGGGGGGATGGGAAGCTGACTTTGTAGTTTGGCTACAGCTCAGGAAGCAAACTGATGTGGCTAGATAGTCTGAAAGATTATTACATACTCCTTCATATCACCGACATTCTGAGAGCATCTCAAATTCTAAACTAGGAAAGCTTGATTTTAGTTCACATACGTTATTTATTATAAACAGATACTTTAAGCTGTCCCATTTGCAAATACATATATTAAAATAAAAGTGAGGACTTCAAATGCCTTATGAGAAGGTCCTTTCCTCAGCAAGGTATTCAAAACAAAGGGAGGACATTCCTTTCTTAAGAAAAAAAAATTCTCTAAACAGGAGGCTGTTGAAAAAATTATATGATTTTCTTTAATGCTATATTCCTCTACCAGGAAACAGTGGAGAAGAAACTTTCCGTTTATCCATTACTGCATATTGCATTTACTGCAGTTACTTGTAATACTAGTGTAAGTCAAAATTTGATTAGAGATTTCCAAGAACATCATGAGCTTTACTGAAGAAATGGAATATTTGCTAGGATGTGCAACAAAGCATTCCAGTGCTAGCACCCAGTTTTGTGAATCTCTCTCTTGTAAATAATTTCTTTGATTCTGATGGAAACACTCACTTGAGAAAGTTTCCAAAATTGAGCCTTTACACTATATGCACCCTATGTTGGAGTGAGTCTGAAAACTGTATCACTAATAACCCCCCAACCCAAATTTCCATTGGTTTACCCTATGTAGTTTTACTGGCACCCCATATAATGTGGCTATTTTATGCCATTTACAGGTGTGCATAGCTTAATGGTCCTGAAAACTTTAAGCTTACTTAGGTCTCAACTAGAATGGGAAAGGTTATAGAAAAAATATACCCTTTGTGCCCTACACAGTTATCAAGACTTGACTGTAGACTAGCAAAACTAAGTAACTTAATGGATGTACAATACAGGGTTTTTACAAGAATTCTTTCAGACAGCATTTACTATTGTAAAACGCATCTTGAGAGTGTATTTTTATACATTTACCCAAACACACACACACACACACACACGCACACAGAGTTTCTAGGTATTTCAGTGACTCATACTCGATAAATAAGTGCCACACAAATCAAACCAAATTATCACAATTCAAGTCTTTTAAACTATTGCTTGTAATTTAACAATACTACTCACTTCTTTCACACTACCAAATATACATTTCTGCTGCAAAAATGTGGTATTAGTTATCAGAACAATGTAAAAAAATATATATGTATGTACAACACCCATTGTATTTTGAGTGGAGCACCTGCATTCAAAGGATGAACAATTATCTCATTCTTGGTCTAGAGGAAGAACTGTAAAATCTAAAAACTTCCCGCGCTTTATTACAAGTTTCTGCCCTGATACCAGTATCGTTAAAATGCTAATAAAACATCTGCAGCAGACAGAATTGATTAAAATAATTTTCTGAAACAACATCTTCAGCCTGACATCAGATTAACACTGTTAACCACAGCATCTGTAGGTCTACCAACTACAAACCTCCAATCTGCAGTAGCATGGTCTTTCAGAGTGCTCAGAGAGTACTGCCACTGAATAACTAGGACTCCTCTACAATTCAGACACATCAACTGGTCTCTATTTTCTCATCTCCTCCTCCATGACCCAAGATCTCTGGATGCTGGCAAGAACAGGGGATGGATTATTTTTTTAATTGAGAGTTCCATGGAACTTTCCAGAGGTGAAAAGTGTTGGGAGAGAGAGAAAAAACAGGTACCTTGGCCCAACATACGAAAACCAACCACTCAGAAAATTATAGGAAAACAATAGGTCCTAGAACAAGCTAAAGCTTGGTCTTAAACTCCAATCTCTTCAGTAGGGAGTCCACGATCAATAAATAAATAAATGCAGTTTGTTAAAAATAAGGCCAAGCACAATAATTTCTATTTGGATTTCCTCAAGGATAAGGGATGGCATACTGTGCGGCAAATTTTACAAGGCAATTTGCATGTGAGCTATGCTATCCATACCACTTATCTGTTTAACAGGCACATTTTTTTTTAATGGTACTTGGTAATTTGGTACTATTGTCAACTTGCAAAACATGCTACCTAACAAAGAAACTGCTACCTAACAAAGAAACTGAAGGCCAAGGAAAGGTAGCTTCCACCTGGAAAACTGGTGCCTATGCTTTCTAGCCCTGTGAACTGGACGAATGATGCAGAACCAGTTCACAGGTCAAACCCAAGTTCACAGGCTTGATTCAGTACAGAATTGGCATGCAAGGTTGGTCTGCAGGTGCAACCCCATGCACTTGTTCAACCCTGCATATCAGATCTAGCTGTGGAGTGACTGTTTGCCAACATGACCTGGCGTACAGGGTTATGTCATCTGGATCATAGGACTCCACATGGGTCTGGAAATCCAGTGCCAAGGGAACCATGGCTGCATTAACTGCCACAGCTCTGGGAGCAATTAATGCTACTTTTCCACTGCCCTCAAATTTCTGGACCCATGAAGAGCCTGACAGGCCAGATGAAATGTCTCTGTAGGTTGGATCTGGCCTGCAGGCTGGAGGATGAGCACCACTGATCTAGAAGGTACCAAAGGACTACACCTAACATACCGCAATCAGTGTACAATGCAGGGTACACTCCACATACCCTGTAAACTATAAGTTTATCAAGGATAATATTTTATAGCTTAACTGCCAAACTGGATCAGAGGAAAATTCCAGTCACATAAACATGAAATTGGATCTACATTACGGGATTTTTGCTTTTTTAAAGATATTCCAAGCATAGAAAAGTACACCAAACAGATGAAAGCTCCTCTCAAGCACATCTTCTGAAACAGGATTACAATCAATTTAGCCTGATTTACAGTAGTGTTGATTGTCAAAAAGGTTTTGGGGGTATCCACAGTTTATTAAGGTCCTCAGGACTTTACTGGGGAAAGGGGCTGGACTTGTAAAGCACTCAGCCTTCTTCAGGAAAAAAACAAGACTCTAAATTCATCCATAGGATGATCATTGAACTGTGATCCTACATATATTTAACACTGGGATAAATTATACTTTGGGATCACTTACATAGTTCTTTTTGACAGACTGGGTCAGATTCTCACTTTGGTTGCATTTGTGCAAATGCAGGATAATTCTGCATATCTCCTTTTCTGAATATTTAAATTAATTTTAAAACAGTAATTACATTTTAAAGCATGATGACTGTAATAGGAACAAGCAAACAACCTCACCCATCATCTTTATGGAAGAGATCACAGCTTTCCAGTCTTGAAAGGGCTAGGTGAAAATTATTCTCTGAAAAGCAAGCAGCAAGAAGAGGATTTGAAATGAAAACATTTAGTGTTTCATGGTGCAAAAATAGAAGTGCCACTTTGAATATAGCATTTTTAGCAACAAAGAAAAGCTTTTATCCATTTACATTTTCTTCCTAGAAAACAAGTTATAGCCATGTTGAGATTTCAGAACCATACGTTAGTCAGCAATCAAACTAAATCAGTCTTATTATAGCTTCTTGAAAATTACCAGCTGCCTTATCCCTCCCACACATGCCTTGGTCTGAGATCAGAACAAGTCATGTTCAGACATTATTGGTCTGAGACATGCACTGCTACAGTAATACAGTGAACCACTGTTGTACCAAATGGAGCTGGCATTAGTTATTTTATCTGTCCACCTTAGGCACTTATCATTACTCCCTATTACTGTAATACCTGGGTGCCTTGGTCTATTCTTTAAGATTCTGATCCACTGAGATAACAGCATTTCCCCATCTCACAAATGGGGAGTGAGGGGCTGAAAGAAACTAAAACCAAGATTATAAACTTAGTGCCATGCAGGACAACACCTATAAGGCCAAAGGACCCTACGGAACCTAAGGAAATGTCTACACAAAGCCTTGACTTCAACAGGTCGTTTAGGCACTTAGGAACCCAAGACCATGTCTGGACTAGGAGTGTAGTCCTGGTATAGGAGTAGCATGATACTATCCCTACAAAGTGCTTCTTGTGTGGATGCAGGTATACAGACAAAACTGCTAGTTCTTCATCTCCTTCTCATGGAAAAAAGTGGTAACCAGCCAAACTGTGAT